CCCCAAAACCCCAAAACCCCAAAACCCCAAAACCCCGTATTTTGGTACTCGCTTGGTAATATTTTAGAGTAGTATTGGTTTTTATCAGTTTGGAATTATTACTGAAAAGATTCTTTTCAGCATTCATCAAAGCTACTCTCTACCAGCACTGACCTTAATAGACCTATCTGTATTGTTTGTTTTTGGAAATTTTAAGAACTGTAATCTATACTCTTAAAATTTCAGATTGAACTATTGTCTCTAGACAGATACTCTTCTCTATTCCGGCTCTGCTGAGAACCATCATTCTCTTGAGAGTTTGCTTGTGAGTGATCTCCAGGAGTATATCTAAGAGGCCTCTTTGTAGAATTTGCCAAAGATTGTGTTTCTGTCAGGTCCTGAATAGACCTTTTCACTTCTAAATCTGCTAATTCTAGCTTTTTGGATGCAACTTCATCATCAAGTTCCAGTGGATTATCACAGCTAATCTCTCGAGTCATGTCCATCCTCTCAGAGTCTTTTAAACTCAGGTTTGAGAGTGAATTATTATTACCTATATGTTTCAAGATTTTTCTACCTCCTTTTAGAAACTCATCAATGTTTTCTTGTTGATTTGGAGACCAATTATCAAACGACTGAGAGTTCAGGCTTTCTTTTATCTCTTCAAATTTAATTTCTGGAAAGGAGAGATCCATCTGGCTGACTCCTTGCTCATTTGCTGGCTCATACCTAAGCTCTCCCTTTACAGGGTTAGTATACCTAGAAAGTATATGTCTGGCACCTACTTATTCATGACGAACGAAGTCTTATCTCATTTTCTAGAAACCTCATCAGGGATTTCAGATTCATCAACATCTGAGGCTTTAGGAATCTCGAATAACTCTGGGTCAATATCGATCCTCGTAATCCTCTGAATGGCTTTCTCAGCAGAATAATTAAAATTAAGATCTTCAATAGCGAGATCATGGTCTTTTCTGTAATCCTGAGTATTTTGAGTCTTAGTCTCTCCCTCTGGACATTCATTGTCAGGTATAGAGTCACCTGAAGAGTAGAACTCTAGCCGAGACGCTTTCAGATCTCACGATGAATTTTCCTTGGAATTTGAGTCCATCTTTGAATAGTAGTTGTCAGGACATCCCTATTTTAGTTAAAGCATGGTGAAGAATAGTGTCTGAGTTAAGCTAAAATGTTACCTCAGACCCGTATCTTCTGTTCTGGCTCTTCCCCTTTTGGTATTCATTATAATTTCATAGTTTAGAGAAGTTCTTGCTGAAAAAGTGGGGGTCATCAAACAGATCCTTCTTATGATTCTATAGATTAAGATGAGAATAACCTTTCTGACTCTCTTCTCTTTATTCTTCAATTTGCTTGGATTTATCAATGAATTTATGTTAGGAACCCCAATCCGGGATCTGTATTGAGTAAAAGTATTGCTTACTGTGTAGATCCAGGGATCAAAGGTGTTTTCTCGACTCTCTTCTGACTACTACTTTTTCCTTTACAAGGAACTATTATATTTTTCACAATATCTGAAGTATTAGATTGACATTCCCGCTTAGAACTAGCATTGGAAGGGTATCTCAGCATCCTTGAGCCATTCTCAGAGCCCCCTGCTTTTATCAGAGGAGGTTTCTTCCTATTCAAAATCATATTTCCCTTCTTGTGAGGTGACCTGGTGCTTTTCAATTTCTCTGTATAATTATTTTTGTTAATATCTAGGTTCTTTGTAATCTGATTGCCTAGTTTCTTGATTACTTTGTGCCTTTTCATATCATTCAGCTTTGAAATCCCAACGCGTTTAGAAGTCTTCTTCCCTGAAACAGCACTATGCTCACTATGAACGATACTGGAGTTCTTTGGAGTCGAAACTATATTAAGTTATGGCTAAGTTTACCAGTCACTGAGGATTTAGGATACATCTTACGTATATTCTTTCGATTGGTTTTAAGCACCTTAATGCATGTCTTTTTCGTCCGATTCGATGATTTCTTATATCCCATAGTCCTGGTCTTCGTTATACTTTTGCCCCCCTCATCTTTGGATGACTTTATTACTGAGATTAGTTGGTTTAGCTTGTACGAGTACACTTTATTTATCATTGTTGCTTCCAAACTCCTTCTTAAGATGTTTATTGAGGATTGTGACCTTCTTTTCTTCCTTTCTTCCCTGCCCAGATTTGATTGATGAGGATCCAGCGGAGTTGAGGGAGACCATACTGCCTAGATTTGCTTTAGCAATGTTAAAAGACCCTGCATCTGATGTTGATAAGACAGAGCTAGTATGTTCTTTCTGTCTTAGTAAATAATTACTCTTATTATTTCCGAAAGTTTTTTCTTGAGAAAACTTTCGATTTAAATTACCTTTAATCGAAGGTTTAGAGCCTGCTGAGTTAAGTGAAGCATTACTTCTAGTAGAGTCAGTATACTTCCTTTGTCCATTTGGAGATCTGTTTTCTTTATTCTTCTCTTTCTTCACTGAACTATGCTTTATAGAATTCCTTAGAGAAGAATTCTGTTTCATATCTTTAATAGAAGAAGTCCTTCCAGAGTTGATCGCATTGGCAGAATTTACACTTCCCTTTCTCATCTTTTGTAGAGAACTATAAGTGCCTTTTCCAATAGTGTCATTAGAAGACCCTTTTGTACTCTTCGTGCTAACTTTCGATTTATAGCTTCCTGATGTATTACTCCTAATTTTCAAATACTTGGTTGATTTCTTCATAACCTTCGACTCCTTGCACCCCCAGGTCTCTTTAGCTCCACTCTTACCATCAAGCGTGCTTGAGAAAGTCTTTTCTCCCTCTGCTTTCTTAAGGTTCTTCTTCATCTGAATAATCTTCTGAGTGCCTCTGCCACAAGTCACAGTCTTTTCTCCAAAATAATGTTTCATTTTGGTGTTTGCCAAGTAATGACTGGATCCAAGGCCTTTTTCCTTCACTATAAAACATATGAGATTCAGAGCTAGAATGAGCCTTTACCTTCACCCTCTTTTCCCTTCCTGTAGAATTGGAGGTACTGGAAATTAGAGTACTTCTGGGCCTCTTCCGGCTCTAGGATTAGTTTCGCCTTGTGCTTGTTCCTGTACCTTTCAGTCTTTCCGCCTAGTGCCATAATTTAAATTATTCAATTTACCGTATTAGTTAGGGGTTTTGGGGTTTTGGGGTTTTGGGGTTTTGGGGTTTTGGGG